TATATATATATATATATATATATATATATATATATATATATATATATATATATATATATATATATATATAGTCATGTATGTATGTATGTATGTATGTATATATATATATATATATATATATACCACCGATCTCGTAGTACGGTGCACATTCAATATCAATTCTGCAGTACTGTACAGACCAAATACATATGTGATAATAATCATGTCATAATACGTACAAAACAGATACAATATATCCCGTAGGTACTATCCATTAAAAAAAACTTATCATCTCCTGGTACTGTACAAAACCGATACATACTTAGCAACTCGTAGAACGGCATGGTGTGATTGCAAATCATGCTTCCAACGTGCACGAGGGCTTCGATGTATACTGGATCTGTGGCGAATGAAGGCAAATCGACAATTAGAACATTAGCAGCTTGTACTAAATCATGCTTAGCTACACAAGTCTGGCCATCCTCCACTCTTTGATATTACAGTATATATCGGTGACAAGTATTCAACCATGTATAGCTATAGTCAGGTCATTCACCTTACTGTGGCATCGCAGTATACTAACCCATGCTTAGCTGTCGTGAGGTCATCGATCTCACTAAACTAGCGTTGTACCTACCACCAACAGATCACAGGGTTTGCTGACATACCGTCGGATCATGTATGCTGCTGAACATATCAATACGAGTCCATACAGCACCGCATCTCTGTTTAGTCCATTTATTCGCGATCTCTGGTAGACATTGGTATGGCTCAGACACTTTGGTCGACGGACATTCCACAATGGAGAAATACCATAGACTGGCAACACGTGACTACAGCACAGCTTAGACACTATAGACAACAGCCACTGACACGGAGCACGAAATAGTGACTGTCTTATGCACCCGTTTAGCTCTATACAAACATCAGCATAATTTTCACACTCGCAAACCACACAAACACCTGAATAGCCTTACGGGGATTATACAATTAGCTGTACCACTCTGAATGCATTCCAATATATGTCAGTAGAAACGTAGTTGTGACAGACGATAAACTCACAGTGTGTTTCTTTCAATTGAAACAATCGCATACCATTCGCAAGAACTGCGTGGATGTGGTCGTCCAAATCGTCTCGATCTGGTTGGTTGATCTCATACACAAACCGCAACTGCGATTTGACTACATCTAAGCATCTAATTAACAGCTGGTACATGCAGCGATGATAGTTCTGTTGATCAATATCTCTGTAATGAAAACAAGCAAATCCCATATGAGGATCGTGAATTAAAATTGGCGTGTTGAGTAAGAATATATAAAATACACTACGACATAAAGTGTGATAAACAATATATGTACGTAATGAATTAATTTTAATTCTCTGCATGTATGTAATTCACTGAAGGTGAGGAAAGTATGTGGGTGTCGGTGTGTACATATATATGTATATATATATATATATATACATATATAATAATATATATATTATTATTATTGTTATATATTATTGTATAAATTAGTATATTTTATTATGTTTTATTATTATATATTATATAAATATAATAATATATATTATTATTATTATTCTTATATATATAACAAATGTATATATATATAAATATATATAGGTAGATATAT